GCCCTGGTAGAAATCATATATGTGCCCCTGCACCAGCCCCAGAGCAAGTCCCCACCCTCTGCGTGTCTGGGTACCTTGATTTCTTACAGGAACCCCCCTATTTTGGAGTGGAGTAGGCCAAGTCGGCGGCCAGTACCTGGTCTGTGCACCAACACCAGGTGGCCAGAACCGTGAGCCCAAAAATGAGACCTGGCCATGGGATGTCCCCGCTCACAGGGTCCCGCAGCATGTGAAAAGCATCTGGCCGAGGAAGGTGGCAGGTGGTGTTGGGGACTGTGGCGTTAGGGATAGCCTGCCGGTACTGCTGCTCCAGGCCTGGGTACCAGCCAACCTCCTGAAAGCCTGTGGAGAGAGACCACAGTGAGGGAAACAACCCTGCAACCCAGCTGAGCCTGCCAAGTAGCCCAGCCCCCAGGGCCCATGCGAGGACCCCAGGGCTTAGAACTGGGGTGGGATATGTGGTAGGGGAGCAAAGCAGGGCTTGCCAACCCTGAAATCCCTGGTATGATGTAGGGAGAGCCCTGCTCTAAGGGAGTCCCAGCCTGGAGGGGGCACATGGCCCTGCTGTGGGAGGTTCTCGTGAATCCAGGGGGGTGACAGTCAAAGCCAAGTTAGAGAAGCAAGGGTGTATTAGACATTTTCCTTACCCAGAAACATGAGAACCAGCGCTCCCCCCACCATGATCACCGTCTGCAGAGCATCTGTGTAGATTACAGCCATGAGGCCCCCTGGGGACCCAAAGACAAGGTTCATCAGTGAACACCAAGAGTGGGCTCCTCGCTGGACACCCCTCCTGTGCTTGACCATACTGGGGAGACGAGAAGACACATAGCCCTCTTAAGAGGTGGCCAGCTGCGATCCCCAGCACCCATTGTCCCCAGCTCTGACAGAATGAAGGCTGGTCACAATTGACAATTCTCAGGTCTTGTTCTTTCCATATGCAGCCTCTATGAGAGTCTCGTTTTGGATTTTGTGTTTAACATCCCTCATTATTCCTTTGCCCGTGTCATCAGTTCAAAGTGGAATGCTCCCGTCTTTCTCCTCCCGCACGCGTCTCAATGCCCCCACCTTTCAGGGCTGCGTTTAACCATCAGTAAGGCTGCCCGAGTGCGTCTCCCAGAGCAGCCAGCCTTGTGTGAGGAGCTCTAGACCATATGGGAGAAAGGGGGCTGTGGCTTTCTGGGAAACACCTCACAGTGAGTCTAATCCAGGGACTTAGAGCCCACAGCCCCACCCTGCTCGCTGCTGCAGTTGATCATTTCCTGCATCTCCTAGTGCCCTCTCCTTCCTCAGCGCTCTCTGCTCGCCTCTGTTCGTTCTTATTTCTGCCCTTTCAGTCTCGCCTCCTCTCCGCGACAGTCTGCCCCTCAGTCTTGCCCTCCGTTTTTATCTTCTTACACACTTCAACACACGCCCCGCTTTGCTCTGGTTCTTATGTTTGCCATCTCTCTCAGGATCCGTTTGTCCCGGTCTCGCTGCCCCTCTTCTGTAGGTCCTTCTCCCTGCCTCGCTGCCAGTGAGTCAGTGCCCCTCTTTAATCCTCCCTGGAGTTCTGGCTCTACCAGGGGGCTTCCAGAGGTTCTTGGAAAATGGAATGTCCCCACACACGTTTGGAAACCCCCTGGTGTTTCTCGGTACCTGCACCGCGGCAGGCCCTGCCCTTGGCCCCACCTGTGATGGTGTAGACGGCCGTCACCAGCAGCAGGAGCACCGTGGAGAGATAGAGGTTCCAGCCCACTGCCATCTGGATGAACAGTGCTCCAGAGAAAATGTCCGTCTGCAAGAACCGGGACCCGGGAGTCCAGGTCACTCGAGACGCTTGATGTGGCCCTCATGGGCGTGCCAGCTCCTTGCTCAGCACCCCCAGTGCCCTCTGCCCTCACGGGGCCACACGGAGGAGCTCGAGCTTGAACTTGCAGACAGTGAGCAACATGGAGACGTTAGAGCAAGTGCATACTGCACGAAGCTTCATCAATTGAGACTAATTTCATGTCGCAGCACTGGAACGGAGCGATACACGATGGACTATGGAGGGTGGAGAAGGGCTACAGTGAGAGACTGAGCAAGGGAAAGGGGAAGCGAAAGCATGTGTTGAAACCCAGGCAGTATCTCACTGCTTCCCAACCGAGCTGTGGACCCCCACTCAGCTGCCAGCTAGGCCCACAGCAGACCCAGTGAGGAAGGGGCGCTGGTGCCCATAACAGCAGGTTCTAGATCAGCCATATATTCAGATTTGTTAAAGGAGTTGGAGATTTATTAGAGGAGTTCAGGGCTGTTCTCAAGCCACAAGAGGCTTTAAAGAGTTTTACAATCCTACAGGTGGTAACTGAGCCACCCAGTTAGGTTGAGTGCCTGTTTGTGGCTGCCCTTGCTTAATTGCCCATGAACTCATGGCAGCATTCACAGCATGATAGACTGGAAGGAGACCAGGATGGGTCAAAGATTATGTGGCCACATTGAAAGCGGGGACCCACCGATATCTTGGTGAAGATGTAGAGGATGAGAGACAGGACGGACATGTACACCTGGATCCTCTGGCCCCCGAACCGCTTCTTCAGGTACTGTGGCATTGTGACCACACCGGCTGCGATGTAGACAGGGATGAAGATCCAGCCAAGGGCCAGAAGCAGCCAGGTTGCCTGGGAGAGTGGAGATAAGGAAATAGCCAGCTCTTGGACGCAGATGGAGGGGCATTTCCCCCTCTGGACTGTGCTGTGCTGTGGGAGAGCCCTGAGCAGGGAGCGAAGGAGCACAGGGCCTAACTTCAGTCCTCTTGCTGGTAGGTGAGTGACCATTGATGCCCCTCTCCCTCCTCCAGACCTTGGCACCCTCATCTGTAAAATGGACCCTTAAGTCATCACTCAGCCTTTCCAAACATCTCTGAGTGAGTTTCCTTCCAGCGCTAAAGCCAGGGATGGAGGTAGGTCTATCAGATTCAGATTACCCACCTCCCCCATCAACCCCCAGGTCGGCTTCCTTACGTTCCACTCAAAGCCACCCACAGCAAGGCCTCCAGCAGCCCCTGTCCCAGCCAGACCGATGAACAAGCCGCTGCCCACATTGCTGGACATCAGCGAAGCTCCGATCTGTAAGGCACAAGTGGAGTCCAGGGTCAGTGGTCAGGAGAGATCAGGTAAATCAAGCTGGAGGCTGGACCACCAGCTTCAGGAGCTGGGGAAGAGGCAGAAGGGGCTGGATCTGGGCTGGGGCATCTCGAGTCAGTGTCAGGAGGGGAAAGAGGAGCAAGGAGGAGGAGGGAAGGAATCAGCCCTTACGAAATACCCATGTGTGCCAGGCACGCTGCTGGGCACTGCAGATGGAGTCAAGCATTTACTCTCCTCCCATGCCCACAGGGGTCAGTGCTAACTGTCCTGATTGACAGAGGTCAGAACAGAAAAGTTTCTAACTCCAGAGAAAGAAGGGACATTATGGGCAGGATAGTACAGATAAGGACCTAAAGTCCTGAACCAACATGATTTCCTTTATGACCCATTTTTTCAAAATTAAGCTTATGTGTCACGATTTCAAGGAAATATATCCTAGCCCGTCTCTCCCGGGTTGAGCCGTCTGTGGGTTGAGGGGTTCTCCAGGCTCTCACAAGGCTCTGCGCTTCCGTCTGGCTCAACCCTGATCATCTGCTTTGAGCCTGTCTGTTCAGCTTCACCGCGCACTTACCCAAGACAGGAGCAGTCTAGAGTCATCTCTGTAGGCCCAGTGCCCAGCATAGGGCCTACACTCGGGCAGTGAAGTGCCCAATGAATCCTTGTGCTGGGAGTGCATGGTCAAGTCTAGTCAGGTTGCAGCCTGAATTTGGACTGCAGAGAAGGCATCCAGAGTCAGGAAAGCCAGGAAGGGGCCATTGTCTGGAGATAAGAAGACCAGCACTGTGGATGATGGGATGGAAGAAAACAGAGATGGGACCATCCACAGGGAGACAGGAGGGAGTCAAGTCAACTCACTGGCCACCAGCTCATGGATCTCCCAGCCAGGAAATAGCCTCCGACAGTTCCCCGGCTTGCATGGGAAGATGCCTGGAAAGGAAGAGATGAGAGGTGAGGATTTCTTGCACTCCCCCCAAACTGGGTGGTCCATCCAGATTGCCCACCCCTAGTAGAGGCAGCACAGGGCCTAAGGAAGCTTGGCTCTCATCTTCCAGGGCTGGTGGGAAGGGCCCAGGAGGTAAGGGCTAGAGAGAGACTTCGTACGTAACCGAGTGCTCTCCCAGAGTGTGGGGTTTGATGTGTGTACAGTCTGCTCCTCTTACCCCTCCTGCCCCACCAACTCATGTTTGCTAGTAAATGGATTGGTATCTCCTTCTCAGGCACACTGTGGGGGTACAGGGAGTCTGCCTTTTTCTCTATTCACCATTCCAAGAGGGCTCTCAGTCCTCGAGACAGGACCACAGAGGGGGCTAATTCTGACCGTAGACCTTGGGGCACAGGTAATGTAAGACGCTCTCATTTGGGGATTCCGTTGCTCTGGCCTAAGGCCGAAGGACATCACTTGGCTTCATTTATGCTCCTGACGTACCAGCAGGTAGTCAGTTATGGGCCTGTTAGGGGAATTGATCTGAAAAGAATTGAATGAAGAAAGAGGGGGCGGGGGGAGGAGGTTTTATGGAACACAGGGGCGATGGAGAGGAAGGGTAAACCAACCAATTATTAAGAGGCTTAAATCAAGAGGCCTCTGATTGGGTCTGGATGTCAAAGAAGTACTTAAAACAGAGGAAGGAAAGAGAGAAATGTATCCAGAAGTTTCTCTTTCCTAGGGGAAGAGCATTAGGTGTCACTGGGTCTCTGACTCATCGTGGCTTCTTGTGCAAGGAAGAAGGGAGCCCTGCTGGAGGGGGGTGGGGTGGGCAAGGTTGGTTACTAGGGAGTGAGAAGGGTCCAGAAGGACCTGGTGTTTATTAAGCTTTTTCTCAACTTGTGATGTCACTTCTAAGTCTCTGGAGGGCTAGACGAGCAGACTGGAGCCGGCTTCATACTCTTGGATGAGGAAGTTGAGCCTTGTCCAAAGTCTCAGAGGAGTAGGTGTTTCTCATGGCTGGCTGCCAGCAAGGCGTCAGTGACAGCTTGGCCCTCTTCTTCCTCACCCCTGGGGCCCCAGGAGGCAGGCATTACTCCCCCCACTCTACAGATGGGGAAAACGAGGCCCAGAGAGGGTTCCCGATTTTGCCACAAGTGGGCCTTGAACCATTACTGCAGAGTTTAAAGTTGCTACCATCTCTCCTGAATGCTATAGCGATGACATCAGCCATTTATTTCCTGCCAACTCTGGTGCCCGGCACCCCTGCCAGTTATGTCGATGCAACATGCCACCAAATGCACAGCACAGTTCCTATTATGGTCATTGTTCTGAGGAGAAAACACTGAGGCTGAGAGAGGCTTACTGTATTCCCAAGGGCACAGAGCTGCCAGTTGCCTACCCTCTTCCCACTGCACCAACATGGACAATGGGGAACGGAAAGGTCTTGGGGTTGGCCTGACTCTCATCCTTAGAAGCACATTAGCTTCATCTCTTCCTAGGTGTTTTAGAAGCTGACAAATGGAGGGGTGACCTAGGCCAGGGGGAGAACCATGGGATGGGAAAAGGGGAGCAGGCCCAGCCAGAAATGGCTGGAGGTCAAAGACAGGCGTTGTGTAGAGACAGAGAGCAGGAGACCAGGAGACTGGGGCTCCAGGTCTGACCCTGTGTCTGGCTTGCTGTGTGGCATCAGAAAAGTTCCTCCCCACTGGGTCTGAGCCTGCCGCTCTATAAAAGGAGGGAGTTGGAGGAGGTGGCTCCTGCTGATCCGTCCATTTCCGACCCTCTGCGGTTTTGTGATTTGTCGTTCTGTTCAGCCAACCCCTGCTCCCAGCTCCATAATTGAGCCAGGAATGAGAGGGAGTGTCTGCCTTCCCTGCCAGGCCTCAACCTCTGAGTCTACTCACCCAGATGCCCACAGCGATGACGAAGACAAAGTAGATGACAACGACCGTAATGTCATAGGCATGCAGGCTGACCCCAGAGTCCAGTGTTGAGTGTGGCATTGTATCAGCCCTGTCCCTGTGCCCCGAAGCGCCAGGCTCCACTGCTGCCAGCCCCAAGCTCGTCTGCTAATATCCGTCACCACCAGGCTGGACTTTGAGGTAGTCCTGGATTCATTCTTTTCCTTTAATGATTAAACAACATCAAGCACTTTTAGTCGCTGGGGAAACTCAGAGTTCCATTGGCATCTAAAGTCTCAGCCACTCCCCTTCCCCTAAGCACTGCCACTCCCACCTTTAAAAGGCTAACCCTGCCCCTAGCTGGCAAGCCATCACTCATACAGATTGACACACACACACATGCACGTATCTGCAATACACACATGCATATATATCCCCCCACCCCACCCCACATACACACACACTCCACAGAACAGGCAGATCAGCAGCAAAGGAGCCAACTCCCAGCGCTGGGAAGGACTTCAGAAATCGAGGAGTTCTGCTCTTGCTTGTGTGGAGAGGAAACTGGGGCCCAGAGAAGAAAGGGTCACATGGAAAGGAACTGGAAGTTGAGCTTCTTAATCATGACTTTTCCTTGCAGCCTTCTGGGAGGGAAATAAGGAGGAGAGAGCCACCGAGGCCTCTCAAGGATGTTGGCCCCCACCATGTCACCCACCCTGAACTCGAATCCACTGGTGCCATCCTCCTTTTATTTAGAGTACAGAGGACGGGGACCCAGAGAGAAAGAACGAAAGTTCCAAGGGACAAAGCTGAGCGTGCTGTGGCCAGAATGCACGTCTTCAGGTGCCTGGGCCAAGAGGCCCTGGGAGGTGCAAATAGCAAAGTCCTCAATTACTCTCAAAGGCTGGTGGTTCAAGTCCACGCAGAGACCACTTGGAAGGAAATCAGCTTTTGCAAGCACCATTGAAAACCCCGAGATGCACAGCTCCACTGTAACGCACAGGGGGTGCCACAGGGACCTGAAGGCAACTCCGTTTTTGTTGTTGTTGATTAACCTCCGGTGCCATACTCACAAACGTATATCTGTTTTCAATTTACACACGTACACTTTTGAATGACAGTATGTATGTTCCTCATGTCGTGCCCCCTTTCTCACTCTCAGCACGCTTATTGCCACATCACTGTTCAGCAAGATGATAGAGACGTTCTTCCCCTTAGGTTCTCATGGGTACTTTAGATGAGCTTAGTGAAATTGAGATCACCTGGGCAATTCTTTACGCTTCAGAGATAGTTGTGGGAGGTTCCCCAGTCTCATTGGATCCAGTAAGTCTAATCTCCATATGAATTTAAAATTATTTCCCCTTTCTGTCTTTACTTCCTTTGCTTGTTTTGCTTTTGCTACCTGGTTTCACCTTCTTTGCCTTGTGCTGGGATAAGGAGACCGCCTTTGCAAAAGGTACCCAATAAAGATTCAGGTAGAAACACCTCCCAGGAACACAGGGAGCCTTATTTCTAGTCCAAGCTGGACCTTTAATTACATTACAGAGTGGCCTTAGGCAGGTAGTTCAATGCCTGGGCCTGGGTGTCCTCATCAGCATGTCCTGTGCCCTGCCTGCCTCACTGTGATACAAAGGACGGGGTATACATTTACAGACCCTCTGAGCATACAGGAATGTGTGTGATCAGTCATGGCCAAATGGGGAAGGTAGACTACTACACAGGAGCACAGAGCAGTTAAACAGCTAGCTGTCCACCCGCTGCGGAGCTCAGAGGAAGAAGCAGCCAAGTCCAAGCGAGAGATTGGGAAGGGTGTATGGGTCATAGAGGGAGATCTGAGTCAGGCCTTAAAGTCTTCTACAATATAGAAGTGTATAACAGGATATGAAATATAAGTTTCCACTAAGCCACCAAGATACACCACACATAAAAGTAATAAACCGAAGATGCAGGTTGGCAAAGGTAATCTGAAAGACTGGATTAACAGCTCTCTATACTCTGTGACAGTGGTTCTCAACCTCCCTAATGCAGCGACCCTTTCATACAGTTCCTCATGTTGTGGTGACCCCCAACCATAACATTATTTTCATAACTGTAATTTTGCTACTGTTGTGAATAATAATGTAAATATCTGATAGGATGTATTTTCACTGTTACAAATTGAACATAATTAAAACATAGTGATTAATCACAAAACAATATGTAATTATATATTGTGAAATATTTATTTCTAATTACAAATTATTGAAATTTTGTCTTGAAGTATGGTGTAGCATGGTTAACAGTTTTAATATAACATCAGTAAACTACATTGGTACATTTTGGGGCATAATGTGTAAAAATCCAAAATCAGTGCTAAGGCTGAGATAGCTGCTTTCTCACCAGGTCAGCATATGTGCATGTGGGCGGACCCGTCTGGAGACGGATAGAGGATCGGACCCCTGTGAAAGGATAGTTCAACCCCCACTGGGGTCGAGACCACAGGTGGAAAACCACTGCTCTATGAAGAGGTCACTACTAAATCTTGTGGGTATTTGTTGCTAAGTCTTTATTGGGTCTTACTAACAAGAAGAGCTTTGGTGAGGGTCTCCTTCAAGTGGGGTAACTGTGGATTGGGGTCTGTCTCCAGGCTGAAATGTGTAAATGTTAAGAGCTTGTGGCTGACTCCTGCTTCAACAGTGGGGGGTGGGGCGGGGGGAGGGGGGGGCGGAATGCTGGTTTGGGATTAGCCTGTACCTTTGGGTTTGAACAAAGAATGTGTGGTGGGTTTTGGGTTTTGCTTTTTTTTTTTTTTAATCAATTTATTGGGGCTCATACAATTCATCACAATACATAGATCAATTGTGTAAAGCACATCTATACATTTGTTGCCCTCATTATTCCCAAAATTCACTTGCCTCTTGGGTTCCCGGAATCCGCTCATTTTCCTTTTTCCCCCCTCCCTCCCTTCCTCCTCCCCCCTCCCCCATGCACCCTTGATAATTTATAAATTATTATTGTATCTTATATTACACGGTCCGGCGTCTCCCTTCACCCACCCTGCTGCTTTTAATGTATGGACTCCTTAAATGTGTGGACTGGATGTGGGGCACATGCCTGGAGAGTACATTGTGTGGATCTTCTCCAATCCTTTCCAGTAGCCTGTCTAGAGGGTGACCAGGCTTCAAGTGACAAGATTTGGACGTGATCTGCTGGGGAAAAAAAACTTGGCTAGTACATTAAGGATACAGTGTTTGAGTCAGGGCCAGTCAGAAGAGGTTCTCCATGTTCAATGACCCCAAGTAACCCACCAGAGAACCGTGGGGAAGTCAGCCTTCAGCCTTGGCGAGACTCAGAGGACTAGGGCCATTTAGGAGAGTCACAGCCAAGTCGGAACTTTCCTTTCCCCTCCGATTTCCAGCCCTCGAGTCCGAAGCACAGGGTCTGAAGTGGGGAGGAGCTGAGCGAATCCATAGGTGGCTGACAATGTCCCTTCTCCGGATAGGCAGGCCCCACAGCCACCTTAGCAGGGAAAGAACCCGCAAGGGAAACAATTACATTTGGAGGGAGGGTGGGACGATGATGATACGTAACTTTGAACATCACAACCTGTGAAAACTTGCTTAAATGAGACTGTCCCTTCACGCCTAGAATCACAACCCAAATTTCTATGTTTTCACTGCAATTAGAAATCTCCTTGAACGGCCAGGCTTTTAATCTGCACAGAAGTGCAAAACTACCCTATTGAGCTGCTTAGGGGCCAGCTGGTAAAGAAAATTGCCTTTAGAATTTTACTCTCCGCAAACCAAAATTCAGACTCACTGCCACTGAGTGGATGTCGACTCAGAGGACAGAGTAGAACTGCCCACTGGGTTTCCCAGACTGTAACTCTTTATGGGAGCAGAAATCCCCATCTTTCTCTCAAGGAGTGGCTGATGGTTTCAAACTGCTGCTCTTGAGGTTAGCAGCCCAATGTATAACCAGGTCTCCTAGGTCATGCTTATTCAATATACCAATTGCTAGGACTTCCAGTAAGTAGAATATCTCTACTTTTGGCATCTGCCCTTTGAAGGCTTTAGCCTGTGGCCTTGCTGATGCACCTGGAAAACCAAAGTTCTGCTCAGAATCCTGGGATCAGATAATCCTAACAGGACCAAAACCTTATCATGAGGAGTTTGTTTCCTATCCCTCTACCTAGCCAACCCCTCCTATCTCCCCATCTACATGATGTTCTGTGTTTTCCTTGTCTTTACACAACCTCACTGGAGCCCTTGAGGGGTGCAAATGATTCATGCTCTTGGATGCCAACTGGAAGACTGGAAGTTTAAGTCCCCCCAGATGCACCTTGGAAGAAAGGCTTGACAACTGATATCCCAAAGCTGCGCTTGAAGGCCCTGAGGAACACCGCTCCACTCTGATGCACAGGCAGGAGGCACAAGTCGAAAGCCTCCCTACAGTGGGGTTGGCCTCCTTGCTCCTCTCCTCCTCGGTCATTCTACTGGGCCCGCAGTGACCAAATGCCCCTGTGTTCAGGCTCCTCCTCTACCAACTATCATAGACACCAAGCTGCCCCATGACCACCTGCTTCCTCTGCATCTGTGATTTCTCCTGCATTCCTGCATCTGAGACAGAATCCTCTTTCTGCTTCATTGCTGCTGAATTGTGCTACATGTGGGCCCAGGTTACCCCTAACGATCAGGTGTCTGTGTGTACTGTTTCCTTCCCACAGTTCTTCTCTGACCCCATCATCTAGGGAACGCTATAGCTCCAGTGTGTACCCCAACTATCTCCCTCTGAACATAATGGTCAGTTTCTGTGTGTCTTCTAGATTTGGGCCTCTCAAAAGAAGGACTGGCACAAACCCAGTGTTTAAGAACAGAGGCGGACAGTTTTGAAGAAACATGTTGGAGAAGGGATGGCTCGTGGGTGGGGACAGCAGGGCATGTTGGAATAGAAAGAGACTCCTGATCAATAGAACAACATGAACAAGGAAGAGGAGTGTAAACAGGCATCATGTGTTCAGTGAGCTGCTTGTTCTGGCGTGACTGGCATCTAGGATCGAGCGTGAGGGTCTGCTGGCCCCCCTCCCCGCAGGAAGGATTGGTGGTAAAAGTGCCATTTAAGAAAATCTCTCAGGGGGAGGGCTTCATGGGGGGAGTGGACAAGGATGA